CGGGTACCGCGAGGCGGCCGCGCTCCCCCGCGCTGACCCTGCAGCAGGGAGCGGTGCTGCTGCCGTGGAGCGGTGCCTAATCCCGTTTCCCGAGTCGGTTTTGCCAGAACGGGATGCTTTTCCCCCGCGCTCTGCAGGCCCTGGAAGCAGCATCCTCGACTGGAGCGGCTGGAGGGAGGACGGGGCTCGCTGGGCGCTCTGTGGAACTGCAGGCATTACCAGTCCCACTCACTGCCCCATGGGGCAGAGCCGGGGCGGCCCCAGCCCCACGCGTGACGCCCCACGCGGCTGCTCGAGGCCGAATCCCCCCAGGCGGAGGAGCGTTTTCTGGAGTACAACATGAACCCTGACACGGCAAGCACTAACCAGCCACTTCCGTGCCTTACCTAGGACAAAGCCACCAACGCTTGTTTCCATGATATTTAAATATTTATTTAAATTTAAAAATACTTTTCATGGCACCAATGATTTTATGCTAACTAAGATATTGAATATGTAGAAAAAGGTACAGTTTGAAGGAAAAAATGTAACTTACAGTATTTGGCACATGAAAGGTTAATTTCTAGAGCTTTTTTTATGAAAACTAAGAAATTCACATTTTCAGGTATTTTACCGTCTACTGCTTAAAGATGCAGTATGCTATTAAGAGATTTCTTCTGATAAGAATCTGTGGAAACAGCATTTTAATATAAAGACAGGTAAAACTAACAGGTAGTGAAACACAAGACAACATGGGACATACAGGAAAAACATACAACAAAAAGTTATCAGTTCTCATGATATTACAGTAAAATGCTGGGTGAAAACTGCAGAGGTAAACTAGGTTTGGCATTTATAGCTAGTCTAAAAGTAAGCTGATGTAAAAGATTTTCAAGGTCAATATGTCCTACGCTGTATTTTGTTTTAAAGGACGATGTCTGACGTACCGAGGGGTTAGCGATGCCGGTGTCACGGCGCGGCGGTGCCGCTGCAACACTGCATCTGCAACCCGCGTGGAACATGGCAAGTTGGAGACTATCACTCACTGCATAGAAACACCATTTACTACAGACTGAGGTAGGAACACTACACTAGAAGTTAATTCTGCTATGTTGCATAAAACGGTATATCATGTAAAAACCTACGGTTCATCTCCTGGCAGCAGGCGTAACGCGATCTGCCTTTCAGAGAGTTACTCGGTGTATGCAAACCCCGTCTCAGCTTGCGCGGTGATCAGATGGCTATGGCTACGGCTGGAGCGGTGACACACAACTGCTTTGCTGTTAGTTTTTTTTCCCTGACGGTCAGTAGTTAAAATGGACTTTATTTATTGCAGTGACAAGCTAGCAAAGTCCACGGGTCTCGCCGGGCCCGGCGGCAGCGCCGCAGCGGAGGGTGGGCTGTGCTCAGAGACAGCAACGGGACAGGCAGCTTTAAGAACTGCAGCTATGGCCCCAGCTTATGTGAAATCTCTCCCTGAGATGAAATTAAACTTGCTCGTCGGTTTTAATTTACTTTGCTAAAAGCGTCAAAACTTCCCAATTAAAAACTTCCTACGACTAGCTTTTATTGCTCCCTTTGTAAATAGAGTGTTATGCTGCCCAGGTAACTAAGGAGTCTAGTGTTCATGTTGCAAGTAAAATGAATTAGTTTTATTTATGTATTTTTGCTCGAGGATAGCTAGGTTAATGGTTGCCCATTGGCTTCTCTCTCTCTCTCTCTTTTTTTTTTCCCCCCAGTGTTACCGTCAATTCTGTAGTTCTGGCCTTTTTACTTTCAGCAAAGTCATAGAATGATAGCTCCGGTCTTTATTCCAAAACTAGTTTATGGGTTAGTCTGATGCTAGGTGTCCAGTCTACAAAAAAAAAAAAGTTTATTCCCAAACCATTTTCTCCACTTGAATCACTTTGTACAGTGCGCTCCGTTCACCAATCCATAAAGTAAAAAAAGACTTGATTAGCTTCGATAACAAAATAGCATTTTGTTGTTAAAATATACGTCAAAACAGTCTCTTTTTTTTTTTGTACAAAACAAGGACAACTCTCTGAGGCCCAACGTCTCCCTGCTAAAGCCAAGGTGGTCACTACTGGCTACGAACTCGGGCTTTGAACCCGCCGGTGCCGGCGCCCGCT